GAGACTAAATGCCTGTATAAGTAAGATGCCTTCTGTAGAGTGGAAATTTAATGAATGCTCAGTTTAATGCCAAACTATTCTTTTGTAATTGGCTTGTCATCCTAATGTCTAGGTACAAGCTCAACCCCAAACTGTGACACTTTCTCAGACGACAGCAGGTCAACAGCAGGTTCAGGTGATTCCTGCAACGACCGCTACTGCTCAGGTCGTCCAGCAGAAACTGATACAGCAGCAAGTCGTGACAACAGCATCTCCCCAGATTCAGGCTCCAGGTGTACAGAATCCAGCCCAGTCACCAGCAACATCTGAAGCCCAGAATCAGCAAGCAAAAGTACAAATGAGGACGCCTACTGTCAGATTAAAGGCACCTACTAAACCAAGTTGAACTAATGATTACAACGCAATAACAGGGAAACACAGCATTTCTTGTTTGCTAAGCCAAGTGAGAAGCTGCTCCAGACATCCAAACGAAGACAAACCACCTCTATATTTTTCTCTTAGCGGAAGGGTTTTGCTGGTGAACATTTAAACGTGGAAACTCTCACATAACTTCAGCATATTAGCAACTGTTTAGCACTCAAAATCTGTACAGGATGTATTCTGCCAGTGTTCTCTGTGCTCATTCAAACCAGATAAACATTACTTACGTTTAAATTCTGCCCAGCTTCACAGAAGTAAAATGGTAATATGCCATAAATGTCAGTAAAATTCATCTATGTTAGTATACCATAAACTGCCCATGGGAATATGCAGTTCTTTGCTATAGTTTGGATGTGCGCTCAATATCCACGGTGAAGCCATTCAAAGAACCAAGTGTGGCTAATATAGCAAAGTATTTTCCATCTGTATAAAAGCTGCGTGGTGTTCTCGCTTGAGGTAAATACCTCTGGAAGATCTAACTTATATTTGAAGTGCTCCCTGCAAAGTTTAGCCAATAAATGTGAAAACCTGTAAGTATGTGTAATTATAAAGGAAAAAAAGTTTCATTATCCATTTTTGTAAGTCTTTTAAAATGTTTGTTAGTAGTTTTGTGTACAGTTTACTGAATCACCCAACCTGTGCGCTCATTCTCATATTTCACTTTAAGATAATGGGTATTTTAGGCATGAACTGGGTAAATACTGTGTTGATAGTAGATGTGTATTAAAGTGTAGCCCTTTTTTTTTTTTTTGTAAAAGAATTGTTCGGTGGATACAGCTAAACAAATGATCCATAGCTGTTTCTTGTGGGACTTCCGTCAAGGAAACTCTCCAACTGATAAAATTTAATCTCTCAGTTTCATTCTGCTCTTGCAACATGTTTAAATGTTCAGTACTTTCTACTCAGCTTTCAGCTCGGGGGGGGGGGGGGGCGCGGGGTAAGGGGAAAAAGGTAA